AGAAAATGGGAACGGAGAGGGGAGGGGGCTGCGGTGCCCGGGCCACACTGGAGAGGCCTTCTGTTTGGCCGAGTGCGCCCGTTACCAGGGGTTTGGTACGATTTCTGGGGCAGACCAAGCACACACAGGTACTCAGAGACACAGGCCCCTGGGTCCCACTTAGCCTGCTGTGTCCCCGGGTCACCTACCACCACCGGACAAGACCCCTGCCCAGCGCGGTGGCCTGGCCCTCGGGCCCAGCAGCTGCTAGGAGCGGTGATTGGGAAGTTTGGAGCCGCAGAGAATCAAGTCTCTGCACCCGATGAGCATGGCTCAGGGCCCAGCACTCAGCCTGTTGTCTTCTTAATTAGAGAGAGCTGTTTCTCATCCTCGTTCTGAAAGCCCAGGCAGAGTGGATGCTATGGATCTCCCGCCGAACCTTCCTGAGCGCTCCCTCTGCCTCGGGCGGACACCGCCAGGACACAGCGGACGGACAGCCAGAGGCCTGGCCGTGCTGAGCAGTTCGGTGCGATGGCGCCCAGCTCAGGGGGCGGCGGGGGCTGTGCCATCGGGGGAGGTCCTGCTGCCGCTGACGGCAGAGGCACCGGCTGGCGGACCGCGCAGTAGGTCCACAGGGGCTGGGTGGTGGGTTGACTTCGGTCTAGTTTCTTCAACCAACAGCCGTGCCCAGGGGAGCCAGGCCCTGCGACCCGTGCCCTCCCACCTCCTCTCGGGGAAGCGGGTTCCCCCCAAAACAGAGCTCTCCGCCCAGGGGAGGAGGGAGCCTTGTGCCTGCAGGGCATCGAGTGTGGCCTTCACACACCACGTGAGCCGTGAGGGGTCCTCGGGGGCCTGTGCTTAGCGGGGCCCCCATCTGGGAGCCTGACCAGGTCCCACACTGCGAGACGGCCGCCTCCTGGGCGGGACACCAGGTGGCTCAGTGGTGTGTGCTCCTTCCTGCCCAGGAGGGCCGAGCTGGTGAGCGCATTACAGTCTCGCCTGAATTTTTAATCTTTGGACTATCTGGCTGTAGGCCTGGGAGTTGGAAACCCGGGGAATCCAGGACCCCCCTGAGAAACGAGGTTTCCATCATTCTGATGGGTTATTTTCTGGAGTTTGGGGGCTGCGGGAAAGCGGCCAGCGTGGGCGCGGTAATTCATCTCACCAGGAGCAGATGGCTGTGCGCCTGGGCCCACTCGGGCTGGGGGCGGAGGGGGAGTTTGGGGAGTTTGGTTTCAGACACGCGGGCGGCAGGTGTCCCATAAGCACACCCCACATCCTGTGTGCCAGGTTCTTAGGAGAGGGCCTTCCCCGGTCTGGAACAGGAACTCCTCTCTCTCCCGCCTGCTTTCGCCGTTTCTCTTCCAGTGAGTCTCGTGCCTCACCGAACGCTCTGACCCCGACCGCTGGCCGACGCTGGGGCAGCAGAGCTAACTGTCCCGGTGTGTTCCCTGTCACTGCTGGCCCGTCCCGCCACACGGACACCGCCACCGGACAGACACTGGACAGACGCCGCCACCAGACAGACAGACGTGCCCGCCTCCCTCGTTGTCACAGAGAGTGGCCCTGCCCTGGACTCAGAGTCGGAGAAATGTTTTTCTAAATTTTACCTAGCTGATTTTCATTTGTATTTAACTATTTGCTTTGCATTCAGGGAAAATACATGAAAAGGAGGCGAAATATGCAACATTTTCCATGAACCAAACTTGAAGATGACGTTTGCCCCGGTGAAATGGCTAAGTAGTGGATTTTAATTACTTCTGTCCCCACGGGCTTCCCCCACCCTAACTCCTTACAGTTCCCCTCAGGCTGCAACGACTAATTTGCAAGTGGAGGCCCTTACTCGCCAGGGAACCGTGGCGGCGAGATCAGGAGGCGTCTTTTAGCCGCCGGTGCAGGAAGGCTCCCCAGGTCAGTGGCATCTGCGAGAGGGAGCGAGGGTCCCAGGCCTCCCTCCGCTTCGCTGGGCCCGTCCCTGGACCCGTGCTTCCGGCGCAGACAGGCTTCTCTGCACCTTACCAGGCAGCTCCCAGGCCTCCTTCCCGCCCCCAGGTTGTTCAGAAACCAGTTGTTTTTACTGGAAACAAGAAGCTCGTGGATCCACAGGCAGCATCACAGGGCACATGCGTTTCTTCCTGAATAGACCCCGAGCCTCGGAAGCCCCCCCCCTGCCGGCCGTGGTTCCTCTATCGCTTCCGCTAACGGCTCCTTTGGGGGCCGCGAGTCTAAATATAAAGCGTGACGCTCAGCGGCGTAAGCGGATTCCTCCGGAAGCTGCCCTGGTTAGCACGGGATGGAAATGGCTCGCGGTGTGCAGCCGTTAAAAAGTCTCTAGTGCTCAGCCCCCATGAAATGGATTGCTTATGGGGAGATAATGTCTGTTCTATTCCTTTTTAAGTCTGTGAAAAATGTCATCCCGGTTAATAGGGTGATTAAAACTCTTTATGCTCCGGGAGATAAATGTGATTATGTTTGTCATACTCCGCCCGAGATAAAGACAGCAGAGGCAAACTTGAAATTCCATAACATTGCCTCTCCCGTAGCCAGGAACATTCAGAACTCAATACACAGATGGTACTTCACATAAAGAATAACATTATCTGTGGAACATTTTTCCTTTCCATTAACCGATTTAACAATATGCCTCTGGTACAAAGGAGCAGACAGATGACTCCATCTTCCGATATCTGAGCCCGGAGTGCAGGAAAATGCCACAGGAGTCACGCTGTTTCCTTTTCCATTTCCCCCGGGTTACTTCATCTTGGCTTTTAAAATGCAACAGAGCCTGAGCTTGGTGCCAATGCCAGGGACTCTGATCCCGTCAAACTTCCCTCAGCAGGTCACTCACGATCCTTATGTGATTCCCACCATCCCCCAGGTACCACAATGTGTGTGTGTGTGTGTGTGTGTGTGTGTGTAAGGGGTTTTGTAAACAGTAGGCAGGCCACACGAGAGGTTTTCAGACATTCATTCCCCGGGCCTCCCGCCTGCCAGCCCGTGGGGACAGAGGGCACCCCACAACCCTGGGCCCTCCAGGGCTGGGCTGCCATCGGGCCAGCAGTGGGTGCTGTCCCACGTTTCCAAGGCCCTGCGTGGAGTCTCTACCCTAACGAAGCTTACAAGGCAGGACCCTATTAAATAGAATCAGCATTGATAATGCTTTTCCCTTTCATCATCCCAGACAAGCTAGGAATTCTCCTTTTCTCTCCCTCGGTGAAGGCTTTTAAAAAATCAATAACTACTCTCCACCTAAGAAAGATAAAAACCTAGATTCTAGCTGTAAGCAGTGGTAGGGCGCTCCCATTCCATCAGGGAACCTAGGTGGGTGGCGTCGGACTCAGACAAAGAATACAGGCAGAGCCTGTTCAGTTAGCTCCAGCCTTTCTCCCCTTCCTTCGCTTCTGCTCGTGCTGAGGGAGGCCGTGGAGAGGACATGGCTGCCGATTGGTCGGAGAGCTGGCCCCGGCAATGAGGCTCCCTGCCTTCCCCGACCCTGGGACGTGCGCTCTGCCTGCCCTCCTGGCTCCCAGGAGCTCCTGCAAGGACGCAGCCCTGCGACAGAGCGTGACTGAGTCCACGCAGGGCCTCTGGAGCCACTGCGGAAAACACGCAGCCTGTGGCAGCCCCATACAGCCTCGTGAGGAGGTTCTCCCTCGTAAGCCCGCCTCCTGCCCTGTAGAGGCGGCCTTTCTTTGCTCTCTCCCTGCCCCGAGAGAGAGCTGGTTTCAGATTCCACTCGGGAACCTCCCAGGAGGCTGTGAAGCAACAGCCAGAAGCCTTCCCTCAGCTGAGATGTGGTTAAAACAAAAGACGGTGAAAAGTGTTTGCTGCTCCGTGTACCCCGATCTACCGCACAAGCCTCTGTTTAGTCTGGGTCTCTAACAGGTTACAGATAGATTATTGATAATGCAGCACTTCTAACAGGGTACCCGGCCCAGAGGAAAATGTAATGTTATACGTTTGACATTTCACTTAAAAATTTTCCTTAGGACTGAAAGATTTCATTATGGCAGATTAATTTCAAATATACTTTATTAAACCTGATTGCCAATTAAAGCCTGAGCAATGATAAAGAAACTGGACAACTGATATTCAACCAGATATTATTTTTCCAGAAACATTGACATATCCTTTTTCTTTACAATTTTTTAAATCTCCAGTAAAAAAAAAAATTGCAATGAGACATCATTCTGTTTTCTGTAAGAGCTGGTGGAGGACAGAAAAGGGTTGGGTGTGTATATAAGAATTTGCCAGTTTCATCAGCAAGGCAGTACTGAATAACTAATACTGAGGCGTAACACTCAGATAACTTCCTGGTTAAAAATAGTTGTTAAGATGGGTGATAACTGGGCAATTTTTACATTGACAACTGAGACAAAACTACAAACTGTCAGTTAATGTTTAGGAACCCGGAACCAATTTCTCAAAATACCGTGTTTACTACCCATGATGCCCTTGCCCTTATTTGAGCACAGCTGAGCCTTTTCACGTCATCCCGTCTGCCGCTGGCTTCTCGCTCAGCGTGAGCATGACAGGGTGCAGGTGAGGCAGGCACCTCGGGAGCCGGCGGGTCAGACCGGCTCCGGGGGCAGCGCCTCGCCCGTCGCTGCGGGGTCTGCGGCAGGAGCGAGGGTCAGGTCCCAGCAGCCACGCCGGACAGGAGAGGCTGCTGAACCCACGCCACGAGGGACACGGCGGCACCGCTGCTGTTAGGATCCGTCATCAGCCTTCTCCATCTCCGGCTGCTACAACTCTTCCAGGCGCAGGCCTTGCCTTCAACTGTTCCAGTCACACCCAGAGAAGGTGTCCACATCATCATTTCAAACCGTCTCCCAACTCGGGGGGAAATTTATCCTCCCGACCCCCCGCCCCGCCCAGCACAATACACGTGAGCACGAGCGGCCACGTGAAGTTGACAGCAAACCCGGACAGCGGAACGCTCGGCGCGTCTCCCCGAGGAGCGCCAGGGAGCCCTGGGCTGCCGAGTCCGAAGCCGCTGGGAGTCCCCCGCCAGGCCCCTCTCACTTGGACTTCAGCGCGTCCTCCCACTCCACGGCAGGCTGGGCGTTCTTGGGGATTGCCGGGAATATCGACTGCATTTTGCTCCGGAAGTCCTTCATCTGAAAGAAAGAGGTGCATCATCAGATGTTAACGGAAGGGAAAGAGCCACAGCTGTCGGCGGGAGGGAACTTCCCTGCTCGAGGCACCAAGCGATGAAGACCAATGAGAGGTAAGAAGCCACCCCAGCGCCTCCAAAGACAAGGAGGCACACCTGTCCTCCTAAGTGTAAACCTTTTGGGCCTTCAATAACATAAACCTTTTGGGCCTTTAATAACATAAAACTCCTGACTCTGGGCAGCACCAGCTCCCACTGTCCACTGCCTGACAGGGACCCCAGGAGGAAGGGGTGTATGCTGGCTTTCACCGGGAAAGAGCAGCCGAGAGCCAGCATTGTCCATCTGAATCCATGAAAACACTCAGTGGGTCCCAGTTAGAAGAATTTTAGAGCCAGAGAGGAGTGGAGAGGAGACTCAGGGAGTTAACGGAATGGATCAGGAGCTGGGTGTTTGCATGCGCCAGTGTGGGAAAATCTAGGCGGGGGTTACCGGGGGGCTGATTTGGAATCCGGGAGCGGGAGCAGGGAAGTGGAAGGTCTTAATTCCAGGGTCAGCCTGGGGCACCTGGCTCACCTACAGGGCCCACCACCCTCAGGGCGGGAGACACTCGTTTATGGGAGTTGGGTACGTTTTACATTGCAGAGTACTAGCTGCATGCTTTTGGTTCCTTCCTTTGTATCTATGGTCCCGAGGTCGGAATATTTCATCACCACCCCCTGTAGCCAAGGCTGCAGATCTCCCCGTGTGGTGTGCGAGGCGCCCGGGGCTCAGCAACCTGCACTCATTTCCTTGTTATCTTGGGGGCCAACTAACTTCTTTGTAAGATGATGCTTACTTATTCCATGGGAACCTGACTCCTCACTCTGCTTCCAAACTCGGGGTGTGTGTCTTGTGTGGGACCTGCCAGTGCCTAGCACCCTGTGAGCCCACAGGCTGACAGGCCTCTGTGCAAGCCCACGCCACCGCCTGGGAGAGCTGCTGAGCTGAGCAGCCGTCTCCGGGTGTGTGGATGGCGGCAGCTGCTGCTTCCAGGGTTGTGAGGAGTGAGTGAGATAATACATACAAGCACAGCGCCGAACACTTAATTGCTCAATATAATTAGCGACTGCCGTTACAGCACCATCAGAACACATGTGCCATGTTCCAAGAACAAAGCTCATATGGATATAAACATTATGGTGTGTTTATTAAAAGCATTTTATAGTTATATGTCATTTTGGTTTAAGTATTGAACACCAGAACTGTGGTCGGCAAACTTTGGCTCTTTGGCCCCTTGAGTGGCTCTTCCACAGAATACCATGGCCTGGGTGAGTCTATGTTGAAGAAGTGGCATTAGAAGAAGGTTAAGTTTAAAAAATTGGACTCTCAAAAGAAATGTCAATCTTTGTGCTGTTGCTATTTGGCTCTGTTGGCTGATGAGTTTGCCGACCACTGCCCCAGAAGATACATAAGGCTATCCATTATAGTAGTCCATGGCAGCCGTGTCAGTGTTGGGATGCCGCGCCCTCCGTGCAGCTCATTCTTCTGTGATGATCCTCACGAGAGGCTCTTATCGGGCAGGACTGCACCCCTGGGAGGGCCTGGAAGGTAGGGTGTTTGGTTGTCACATGACAGGGACATTTCATCTTGGAGGGCGTGGGTGCCTCATGTCCAGGCGGCCCACAACCACCACATGCCCCTGCGGATGGGATGTGCGCCGGCCTCTCTCAGTTGAAGACAGACCGCTCTCTGGTTTGCAGTGTGCTGCCTGGTTCTTTCCTTTCACTTTTCTGGATGCACATTTGTTACAACGAGGCCTGGTATGAGAGTTTTCTAATGGAGTGTCGGGCAGCCAGCACAGGCACAGAATCAGCTACCGCTCCGCCTTCTCGGTGATCTGGGGCAGGCCAGTGGCTGAGAAGGGGGATGCTGCGTGGCTGCCCTCACTCAGCATGGTTCTATTCCCATTTTCTGCTCATGGCCCGATTTTTTCTTTCTTTTCTCAAGTATCGCATTATTCATGTGTACCAGGGTCCTACGTAACTGAGCCACTAGAAGGAACCATATTTCAGAAATAGCCCGCTGGGGATAGGCTTCGGAGCGGGGTGAAGGAAGGAGGCACGTGGGATAAGGACACCATTCAGCCCTCTCCTTTGATTTTGCGGCGGCAGAAATGGAAACCCGGAGTCCACATCTCATTACAAACAGGGCCGCAGCTGCGTTAAACAATGGGACCCCATAGAAGGCTTTAAGGCTTATATGAGTTAGACTGCATGCACGGTAAATGGAAACCTTCAGCTTTTCCACCTAGATCCCTTTCTGATCCACCGTTCAGAGGAGGTGTAGGCCTTACCAGTGATACTCTTATCACAGCCCCACAGAACACTCTGCTGCGTTGAGAGTGTGCTTAAAACAGTTTGGGCGTGGGTGCATTTTGACAAACTTGGTTATCAATGTACTGAATTCTATGATCACAATCACAGCCATTGCCATAGAACTATCCCTACTCTATACCCCAAAAGCTTGCTGAAGATGGGGCATGCTGGGAACTGGTGTCTCCATCCTGCAGCTCAGTTTTACTCCAAACTCTGGATCTGCTCCCTGAGCAGGGAGAATTTCTGTGGCTCTGGCTCAGAGGGCTCCTTTGAGCACGGCTATCTCGCACTGCACATTCCAGTGCTCGCCGCGGACGACGGCACTCCCTGGGCACTGAGCCTGCTGCTCCCAGTGCCCTCTCAGGTCCCAGTGTTTGCGCTGGGCTCTCCCATTATCAGAAAGTACAGTGTCCAAGGCAGCAGTTCTCAAATGGAGTGTCATGACAACTGGTAATTTGTCACTAATCTGGACGTTCTGAAGACTGGATACAATAGACTCTTTAGACATTAGAACAGATTCAAGACTACATCTCTAATAATGTCACTCGCACTCACATTCCAGTAGCTTCCGGAAGGGCCAGGAGTGGTCATGGGCTGTGCTGTATGTTTACCATGTATGTCCTGGTGGGGAAAACCAATGTAAAAACTTTGTCTAAAATGTGGTATGCTGCCCCAGCTGGTTTGGCTCAGTGGATAGAGTGTTGGCCTGTGGACTGAAGGGTCCCGGGTTCAATTCGGGTCGAGAGCACATTTAACTACAGGTGTTTCGGGCTCGATCCCCAGTAGAGGGCATGCAGGAGGCAGTCAATCATTAATTCTCTCTCATCATTGATGTTTCTCTCTCTCTTCCTCTCGTTTCCTCTCTAAAATCAATAAAAATATTTTAAAAAATAAAATTTTAAAAAATAAAATGTGGTATGCTGAGAAATTACCCAAAAGCTTCAGGATACAAATAAGCCAGTCAGAGAAAGAGAAATACCATAAGATATCACTTATATGTGGAATCTAATGGACAAATAAACTGATGAACAAAAGAGAAACAGAGCCATAGATACATGCAACGGTGTGACAGAGGTCAGAGGGAAGAGGGAGGGGGAACTGGATAAAGGAGCTAAAGAAAGGAAACAATGAACATATATGCACAGCCCATGGACACAGACAACAAGGTGGTGACGGCCAGAGCCAAGTGGCGGGGCTGGGTAGAGGTGGGCAAAGTCAGGGAGATGGTGGACATCTATAATAATGTCAACAATAAAAGAAAGCTTCAGGATATATCCCTGATTTAATTAATTTCACAAAATCCTTACATTATTGATTCTAATAAATAGACAGTTAATGGGATTAAAAGTTCCAAGTAGTAAAGTGCCTTTGCCATTGACCAGCTTGTTTGCAGGTCGGCCTCAGTGCTACGTTAGAATGATGAAAGATTTATAGGATCAGAGCCTTTGGGTATGTCAATAATTACAGCACCAATGGTAATTTTCAAGACCTTGGAAATCCAGCCTCTTCATAAACTAAAACAGAATAAGACTATAAATGTTACCCTAATAAGAATAATAATGTCTGTCATCTGGGATCACCTACGAGGCAGGCACCGTACCGAGAATCAGGTGATTATGTAGCCTTTACAATCCTATGGGGCAGCAATGAGGACTGTCAGTTTACACGGAGAAACCAGGGACCAGAGAGGTCAACCCATTATTGGTGACATGCCTGCCTGACGGCCAGAGCTCTTCCTTGACAGTCAGTCACTCTGGTCCTGTGACCTGGGAAGATACAGTACTATAGCCTCTACTATGAACTTCACTAGAGATGACCATACATAGATGCCTCATGTACTGGTGACCATTTTATATGGGATGGCATGCAGATTATCACCCATGTTCACCAAGAGCCTTACTCACTTACTCATGGATACAGAGGGGTTAGATTTCTCTACCTTTTTGAAGTTAGGTAACCATGTGACCAGTTCTGGCAAGTGAAATGCAATAGACATGTGTGTCACTTGCGGGATGAAGCATTTAACTACAGGTGTTTGATTCTCCGGCCTCTCTTCCCTTTCCGTAGCAAGCATGCAAACCTGTGCTGCCAGACTGGGCACCTGAGATACTCAGCCAGCTTATGAAGGACAGCTTCCCTGTAGCCGTGTAAACCCACAGTGGATGTTACATGAGACAGAAGTAAACCTTCAAGCTGCACACTTGGAGACTTTTTTAGTGCAGCAAAACCCAACGTACCCTGACATTAATGATGAAGAGAATTATAAAAAAGACACAAGACATGCTCTGATGCTATTCAATAGGACATTAACTTTAGCTAAAACAAGGCCTGGACCAAGGAGGGAAGGAACTGTGCAGGTGAGCTTAAAGAACTCTTATAACTATCTGGAACAAATGAACCCGCACTCTGCCCACCTTCAGGATGCTCAGTACATCAATCAGTCCCATTATGATACTAGAGGCATGAATTTATGCACCAGTGGGGTCCCTTGGCCTGGCCTGCGAGATAGGAATGAAACCAGCTCTCCAACATCCCCCAAGGAGTCCCAGACTGTGAGCAGGCCAGGCCAACGGACCCCACCAGTGCATGATCGGGGCCGGGGAGAGACCATGGGAGAGCTCAGGGCATGTCTGGCCTGTCTCACTCAGT